TTCAAGACTATAAACAACTGAGACAGATAACCAGATAAACCACCAGATTCACACCAGCAAATGTAGGTTTAAAACTACAATGAACAATGCAATCGATAATCAAACGTAAACATAAAAGTAGATTTCTTTCTAACTGGAAGACATATGAGAGGGTTCCTAACAGTATATGATACACCTATAGTCTAGTAGAAAACCAAGTTCATTCTTAGATAGTGTTTTTTCAAAAGGCAAAACTTCCCAATGAGACATCAACTGACCAAAAATGATGATTTCAATAAAAAAAAGCATGATACAGTGGACGTAATAAGCTCTAAGGTGTAGTAGCAAACTATGTTATGCTCTCAATTCCAGAATTACAAACTATTTTTAAGAGCTTGGTGGTGTTGTAAGTAGTAGTAGGATATACTATTCAGAGAATTATATGAATGCCTTGTTTATAAGAAGCACAATACAGTAGTTAATTTTGCTTTCAGGGGATCTTTTTAATCTGTGACACACTTTGTTTTTTCTTTTTTACTTTATTTCTTTGTTTTAAATAGTATATATATATCAACTTCATTTAAGGAGGAAAGCTACAGTATTACTGCAACTTTAAAATGACCATCAACATGTAACTCAATATCATTTTATGATGGTACTGGAAGATCAATTAATATAAGAAATTAAGTTAGTCTATTGCAAAAAAAAAACTGTAATGTTATCATGTATAAGTGTCTACTTGCAAATTGGGCATGTTATATGATCATCAGAACTTCCATTAAAAAGAAAATTATAATTTTCCTATACTGAAAATGTATTTCCGATAGGTACTTCCCCTTCTCACAGCATTAGTTATTCTATATGCAAAATTTTTCTTTACATATGCCACAAGCCTTCTGCTCCCCCGTATTGAAATCAAATGATTCCAACATGTCTCTCTCATGCAAATCATCATGCATCCACCAATAGGAGCATGACATACGTGACGTATGTGACTCCCTCTATACACCTCTACCGAACTATCACTTCAAAGTTTGGCAGAAGACATAAGCACTGGAGGAAAGTGGGAAGTGTGAGTGGAGGGAAGTACCTATTGGAAATACATTTTCAGAGTAGGAAAATTATAACTTCCGATACAGTCCTTCCCTCTCCTCACAATATAAGCTAAGATCTAATGAGGGGACCCACACCATTTTCGACCAGGTATACTCTTTGCATATCCGTGAAGTGTGTGAGATGAGGATGGAAAAAGAGAGGAGCACATCCAAGTGCGAGAGAACTGAGGCAGGATAGTGATCCTAACCCTGAAACATATATGGAACTTAATCCCACAAAGTATGAAAGTGGGTAATCAAAGAATGTGCCCCTAGGCGTGGAGTGGTTAGGGCCCAACGGACCATACTCAGTAAGTCAATTAAATCCAAAACCCATGCCACTGGGAACTGACATCCATGCGGGGGTAGGATGAGGAGCATACCATCTTCACCGCAAGTTCAAGAGACCAGAGGGAATCTGTAACCACTTCAACTCCAGAACATGACATGTGTTAGCTTCGATATCGATCTGGGGACCTGACATCTGTTAGTGAAAGGATGTCTATTAAATATAAATTAACTCCCCCAACAGCAAAACTCACCAGAACCATCCAAAAAGCAATAACATCCTTCGAATAAGATACACAAGGGATAGCAAAAAGGACAGAACCAGAACAATTCCCCTTACCTCTGTTGTGACCCACAACACAGAAGGAATATAATCGAGGTAGGAATTTAGACAACCATAAACGTGTGAGGACTGTTGTTGATTAGTTCTACTCTAAATCCAAAACCCAGCCATGGGATACCGACATCCACACAGGAGTAGGATGAGGAAGGATGGGAAACTGTAACAGGTGCTATATCGGGCTCCGACTGAGAAAAACAGGCAACAAAAGTGGAAGGGGTAGACTGTTGTTGTACTGTTGCAACTCGTGACTCAAAGGACTCAGGGATTGTGTCAGATACGTAACACTGCAAAAATAGGGCCATACTTAAATTCCGAAGATAAGATGCCGGTAAACAGTCCTGAGTTAAGTTCGCATCACGACCTAGAAGGTCCCAACAACAGAGAAACCACATATACAAAGCCAGAGCTGAAAATGACAAACGAGCCAATGTGGAGGAAAGAAGGAAGAGGATGTCACCAAAAAAACCTTTAGGATTTCAATGGAAAGCCTCAGAGATGAGATGGATAGTAGAGAGATACCATAAAAGAGCTGTGAGGGTAAGATAAAGGAGGGAAAATTGGGCATGTATCAGACTTACAGGAGATCCATGGACCGCCTTCCACCACAAACAGGTAAAATAGAACCTAAAAATTGTTGTTCTAGAAAAGGGCAGTCTGCATGATGATATGCAACAGCAAACTGATCCAAAGCCCATGGGGCGAGGCATGCTAATCCCATCACTTAATTGTAAAGTAAATTGGTCAGCATGTACCCAAATATCTGGGGAAGGGGGAAAAACCAAACAGGGATGTGAAGATTGGTCATGTAGTAAGGAAGGACGAGGTTCATAGGAAATAGGAGTAAGGGATAAAACATAATATACAC